CTAGAGCCAATCAACAATTTTAAGCATCATTTTCGTTCTCAGTGACCCAGAATTAGTAAAGTTTGACTACATTTATTTCAGAAGCATTTTGGCTATAGAGCAGTGAACAGTACCTGCAGGAAATGCTGCCCAAGGAATAGCAGGAGAAATAGTTTGTGTTTCACCATCTTCACCTTCAAAGGTCACTGCTGCCTAGAAATATGGAAAATACTGTTTTGTTAGACTTCTAAAAACTTTTGCACAGATTTTCCAGGAGGCATTTTCTAATGATCACATTCATCACAACTTATCAAGCATTTCAAATATATTCCTTTAACACTGACCTATACTGCACTGCACTAGCGTAAGTGGAATAACTTTTTTTTTTAATTGTATTTGTCCAACTGTAATGAGTATGCACCACACACACACACACACAAAACACTACAGAAATCATTTAAGTGCATCACTAGTCAGCAAAGTAGTTAAACACTTGCTTAGGACTGGCTGCTTCGTTGGGGCTAAAATGTATAGGTATACTTAGGAAAAAGCCCTCAATAAACTGGATATGAAATACAGATCACAGGCACAACTTTGCAAACACACTGTGACATCTTTGATTTAACTTCACAATTGTTAAACTGAATACAAAACAACTTTTACGCAATGTGCAGAGGAGTGTGTTATACTTATTACTTGACCAAAACAAAACAAAAGAACACCTGCCCGGCACCGGCTAATTATTAAAACCTAATATTAAAACACCGGCTAAATATTAAAACCTAAGCCAAAGTTTTTACAATTTTATGCCGAATGTTAGGTATCTCAATACACAGACACTTAGTTAAGTGGCATGATTTCCAAAGATGCTGACCATCCCTAATTTATGTTCTATCTAGAGAGAAAAATAAATTATTTCGCTTGATTATTAAATGTATTGGTTAGTAAATTTTGCTTTAACATTGGCAACTAGGCACAATTTTCATGTTAACATCTGTACAATTACTAATCATAAAATAAAGCATGCCCCTCCAAATGATGTAATTTCAAAAGTTTCTACAGCTAACCATTTTTCAAGGTCAGGAACATGACATACCTCAAAGCCTCCAAATTCGTCATCATCCATTTTCCTGTTGGCACCTACAAGACAGTATAAAATAATATTGATCAAAAATCTAAGCTCTTTGCAGTCTGCTGTATCCCAAAGGTGGGAAGATGTATTCTGTACAGCAAAAGCTTCAAGCAGCCTTCAAAGATAGCCTCAAGTAGAACACATTGCAGCGGCCAAACCTCAAGGAGACAAAGGCATAGATAACCACAGCAGACTCTGAATCTGAAAGCAATGAGTGATATCAGACAAGCAGACTCACTCAATCAAGAGAAATTACAGTCTTTTGTTAGTTCATCCAAATTATCTTCTCAGTCCCAGCTATTATCACTGACTTTTCATCCAGAGTGAGCATAAGCCTACTGTGCTTTCATAATAGTCCTTATCTCCACAAGATATTTGAGAAAGCCAGGAAACAGGTCTATTCAATTCAGATGAACTGGAGACTTACTACTCCCCCACCACACTGTGCACCAACAGTGCTTCAAAATCTCTCTAGAGCTTCCTATATGCTGATTAAGAAGAATTACAAGATTAAGTCATGTAGGACTCAACAGTGGAGCTCCCCTGGTGAGGAAGAGCAATATTGTTCAAGATCTCTTCACTAAAAGTAGCCATTTTAAAGGTGATTCTGTCTACCAATAGACACAGCAGCGAAGCGCACTGCACCCCATAATCAATGGTGCTAAAGGCTGCCGAATTACCTAGTCTCTTGGGGCTGGTCCACACTAACCCCCCACTTCGAACTAAGATACGCAACGTTATTCACGTAGCTGAAGTCGAAGTATCTTAGTTCGAACTTACTGCGGGTCCACACGCAGCAGGCAGGCTCCCCTGTCGACTCCGCGTACTCCTCTCGTGGAGCAGGAGTACCGGCGTCGACTGCGAGCACTTCCGGGATCGATCCGGGATCGATTTATCGCATCTAGACAAGACACGATAAATCGATCCCAGAAGATCGATTGCTTACCGCCGGACCCGGAGGTAAGTATAGACGTACCCTTGGACATCACGCCATCACTAAATGACTTGAGATCACCTATAGTAATAAATGTTTCTATATCATATCTTCATTTGACATTTGAGTGGTTGGATTTATAATAGAACACCATATTATTTCTGATCTAAATAAAATAAAATGGTTCCTTGTTACTAGTAAAACTAGGATCTGTTCAACGTTTTCATTTAAAAAAAAAAAAAGGTAGGATTTTGTTTGTTTTACTTTCCAGTAGAACTTTCTAGCAGAATTAAAATTTTCTGTATTTCTTCATCTGCCATATATTCTGAAGTTATGTTCATCTGCCAGGAATGGAAAAAATATTTTTACATTTTAAGTTTCTTTTCCAAATTGGCACTGTGGCTCAATTCAATAATATTTCCTGCTTTTCACATCTCTTAGCTGTCTGGCAACATCAGCACAAACTCCAACTCAGAACAGGACTGTGGTGAATTTCTGGAAGTCTCTCTGTCACCACAAAGGTTCTTCCCTAGGTTTCATGGCAGGCGTTGATTTAGATTTTCAAAACTGATCAGCATTTTTGAGTTGCAGCCATGATTTCTGTGGCATTTTGATATATTTTTAGCTAAAACTGTCTTGTTTCTTTTGAAACACGTGGAGGAAGTTACTCAGCTAATGAAGGTAAATCAAGCTATGTATGGTTGATCCTGAAAGAATACAGCTAAACCAGTAATATATCCCCAAAGTTCCTCCTGATATTTGACTAAGGGTAAGGATGAACCAACAAATCTCAATAAATGTAACAAAAAGGTAAGAAATTTATAAAATGTATTATTTTCCAGTTAAACTAAATGGCTGGCTGCAAAGATTTCAGTAACATGGGCAGAAATAAAAGATGCAAGTGGTTTGCAAGAAATCCTAATGAATTAGATTATAAAAGAGCAATTTCTCCAAAGTTAGAGGCAGACACAAGTGTCCATCTGCTGCTGAAAATCATTAGCGACACAGAAAACTCTCTCTTCCAGGGCTTACCAAATTTGCTCTTAATTAATTATTACTGATAACGTTAAACTGAATGAGCGTTGTTATGCCTAATAAGAAATGAATTCAATTAAATAAAAAATGTTGCCCAATTTCCACATAAGCCTAAAAAAGACAAATCAAATTCTCAAGGTTCACACAGCTTTTTGCAGCCAAGATGCCAGATGGATATTTTTCGCAGCACAGATGCCAGGTCTATGAATCCAGCCTTAAGTGACCAAACACTAATCCTTCATTCATGCCTGTACATGCAATTAACATTAATGGCTTAAACACATTGCATCAAAAATAAAAAATAAAACAGCATTTTTAAGAAAATTGTGATAAAGAGTTGTTTTCTTGTCACAGAAATGTGATGTGAAATGATATATATTGAAAATATGTAGACAGGAACGCATTACTGAAGGAAAGGGAATCAAAATAAGTCATGTGACGAAACACTATCATCATTGCACATCATTACCATGTATCCAAAAATAAAGGACGGCTATCCAGCTACATAAAGCATTCAAAAATATTTCAGAAACTTATGATAGTTTGAAAAGAAGTTCAAACTAAGTTAATACTTTAGGGCCTGATTCAATGGTCATTAAAGTTAATGTGAGTCTTTCAACTGACTATATGCTTTGGAACAGGCCCATAAAGAACATTTGAAAGAAAATGGAAGTCAATATATTAATGTAATTTTTTTAATAATAAAATAAAGTTACATTAAAGAGCAATAAAGATACCGATAATTAAATAACTATAACTTTATACATACACACAAAATAAACCTAGCAATTATCAAATTATTTTCAGCTTAATTAAGTGTAGTACCTAAATTAACCTATTTACTCCATAAAATAAATTATTTTGCTTTCATATACTTTTAAATTCACTCTTTAGTCACTTGATAGCATTTGTTGTAAGCCTTATTGAAATAACCACTGTACTTTTTTTAGTTTACCTATTTGATACATAGACTCTTGCATATACACCTAACAGAAGCATACGAATAATTTAGTGATTTCTACAAAGGATAGTGAGGATTCTCATGCTTCTTTAGGCTATTAACACTTGAAGCTGAGAGAGAGTGTGATTCCCAGCTGAAGCAGATACTGTCATGACTCGCAGATCTCAAACCTGAGCCTGCAAGGTTCATGTGAACAGCCACACAACCACCCTCCATCTAGCAGGCAGCTGACAATGGCTTACCTGAGACCCAAAAAGCCCAGCTCCAGTGTGAGGCTGCACCATATGGTCCAATTGGCACAGTCCCACCGGTCCTACTTAAGCCAGCAGCAGGAACAGGAAGCTGTCCAAACAACTGGACTCCATCTTGCTCTCGACTGGATGCCTTGTGCTTCCTGCTCATGCAACCCACTACCTGGCTCCTGCTTCCCTGGCATGTCATTCTGGTTTGACTCCTGGTATCTGATTTGCAGTTCCCAAATTCCAGTTTGTCTCCTGCCTCTGACTCCCCAGTATCCCTACAAGGTCTGACTTTGGTTCTGATCTCCAGTTTGCCTCCTGCCTCTGAGCTCCCGCCCGGTATCCTGGCCCAGTTGACGCGACTCCTGTCTCATGACTGTGGACTCTAACTCCAACTACTAGGTCTGCTCGCCCATGACCTGGGCATGACAGACATATTTGCTCTAGCTCTGATCATGCTACACACTAAAAACAGCGGTGTAGTCATGATAGCACAGGCAGCAGCCATCATAACACAGGTGGTGGCACACAGTAGCTGCCCTGAGTACACACCCATGGGGTGCGGGCAGGTTTGTACTTGGCAGCTACACTACTATTTTTAGTATGCTAGCGCAATGACAGCTAGTGCAAGCATGTCTACTCAAGCTGGGAATCACACCTCCAGCTTCAAGTGTAGATGTAGCCATAGTGTAGACCACAACTTGTTAAAAAACTTGTGGACAACCCTCCTCTCTCATTCGCAATTATCCACCATGACTACACATTCACAACCCCATAGCATCATTGTGCCATCTACAGCAATTGCTTATGTGGAAAAGTAACAGAAAAGCATGCAATGTAGTTTATCAGTCTAATATGATGTATCAACTAGAAATAAGGAACTCCAGCACCATGTGGCCTGTGGTTCCAAAGATGAACAAAAAGTCCTTCATGGACCACTGGCAGTCCATGGACTACAGTTTAGAATCTGAATTAAGCAGTTTATTCACCAAAACTAGAAAGGGAATTTTTATTCCACTCTACTCAGCATTGGTTAGATCTCAGTTGGAGGACTGCACTCACTCAGTTTTGAGCACAGGATTTTAAACAAGGCAGACAAATTGGAACAAGTTCAGAGATGGAAAAAGGAACTAAAACAGGTTTGGAAGAGAAACTAAAGTTTAAACTGGACATGCCCATTTCTCTAAAGAAAGAAAAACCTAAGAAGAAACATGATAACTGACTAAAATATGTAAAAGGATTTTCATTCATCATAAAGGACAGAACAAGCAATAATCGGCATAAACTCCAGTACGAAAAAAGCATGTTTAATATTAGGAAGAATTTTAGAACAATAGGCAATATAGCAAACTATCATGAGAAGATGTACAAGCATCATCGCTGAAGATAATCAAAGCTTAACTAGACACCCACCTTTCAAGACTTGAAATCAAGCCTGCTGCCAGTGAAAAATACTTTCAAACCTAAACAAGTCTACATACATTTAGTTTTTAAAAGGTTTGAATACATCTTTCCACAATTACTTCACATGAAAAAAAGCTACCCAATATAAAATGATTTAAAACTCCCAAAAGATTTATATTTTGATAATATGGAAGACATTGTGCAGCATACATATATACTATCATTAATCTCATCCTTTACATTGAACCAGCAATATTCTCCAGCTTTGGTTTTGTTTTTTATTAAACATGTATTCTAAAGGGCTCATAAAGCTCTTCTCTCCTTACAACAAGAACATTATTTGTGGCTCCTTAGACAGAAGTAGTAATTAACTGCTTAGTCTTCAAAGAATAACTAGGAGACTTGTCTCACCCTAACTACATATGGACTATACAA